AAGGATGGCAGAACCAAGGATGTAATTTTGCCCAAAATTAAGGCCATAATTACCAATACCAGCAACCTTATCATGGATGGCAGCATTCATTTAAATCAGAAGATCCTTTTTCACCTTGTTTTATGCATCCTCTTTTTGCTGATCAGCTAGAGCAACATCTTGCAGAAGCTCAACCTCCAAATGAGCAGTGGATGAATCAAATGCTAGAAAACCATGAGGCTATGCTTCAAAGTCATGGAGCTATCTTGAAGAGCCTTGAGATACAAATGGCGCAGATTGCTTATGCCCTTAGTATGAGACCTTTGGAGACACTACCAAGTGACACAGAAATACCTAAAAGGGATGGAAAAGAAGTGTGCAAAGCCCTCCACTTGAGGAATTGGCAGCAAGTGGATAACATTGTTACAGTCCAACCATCAACCACTCAATCCTCACCTCAAGACAAAGATGATGAGGAGGAAACTACTGCTGAACCAGTATGGGCAGCATTGAAATCAAACGAATCAGACAAGCTAATGCTAAACATTGAGGCTCATCAACCTATATCAAAGGCAATACAGATCCCATTTCCTCAAAGACGCCAAGAGCAGCAACAAGAGCACTATCTCTCCCACAATTTTCCATCCAAGCTGGAAAATCCAGGTTCTTCTTTAATTTCATGTGCAATAGAAGAAAGGAATATTGTCCCTGATGGAAAAATAGAGAACAAATTAGTGAAAGTTTATAGGTTTATTTTTCCAACAGATTTCATGATAGTTGATTTTGAAACTGACAAGGATGTGCCCATTATGGATAGGCCATTCTTAGTTAAAGAGGATGCTATAATTGATTTTAAAACAGGAGAATTAACCACGAGAGTTAATGAGAAAAATGTGACTTTTAATGTTTCAAAAACAACAAATTTCATTGATGAAGATGTTGATGACTATTCTGTTATTTTTGTTTTTGATCATTTGGTTGCTTCCCATGTGCATTTAAATAGTGAAATTAGCAATTTAGAAATGGGCAGCCTCAAACATGTGGAGGAAAAGCAAAATGAAAGTGAACTTGTGTCAGCCTTAGTGTCTCAACCACCCAAATTCTTTGGAGATTATAAATTTGAACCATTAAAATTGCTTGAGAAAAATATAAGCTCCAGCTCCTTATATCAACAGGGAAGACTTAGTCTAATCATGACGGAATTAATTTAAAAGAAAATAATCAAATAGTTAGATACAGGGCAGATTGTTCTAAATTTGAAGATAAGAATCAAATTAGTTCCAATCAAATTTAGATGGTTAAAACATTGCTGGAGCAGGCATCTAGATAAAGAGAAGAATTTTATTTCTTTACTAGACGCTGGATAAAAAAAGAGAGTTAAGTTGATTAGTTGGTTAGTATATGTATTTGTGTCATTAGAGCTTAGACTAGTTTAGCATGTGTAACTCTTGTTTTGATTAGTTTAATTCTCAGAGTAGTTTTTAACTTGTCATATGTGTGTGATGTTTTAGTAATAGCTAAGAGCACCTTTCTTTTGTTATTGTTCTACTGTCATTGCTGTCTTCATAAAATAAAACGAAACTTGAGCTGATAAAAAGTGTTGACTGAAAGTGTTGAAATGGACCATCTGATGAGTCTAATACAATAAAACAACTTTGAAGTGTTGAGTGAAAATAGGGAATATGGACATACCTCTTAAGTTTGGGGTAACAGAATGATAAAGTAATGCTAGGTGGTACTTTGAGTGTTAGCCCGTTGCTTGTTAGCAAATGAGGTTGGAGAATGGACCAATTTGATTGGAAAACCATTGTGTATTAGGTGAAATTTTTGAATTCATGACTTGTGGACATATAACTAAAGCTTGTAGAGGAGAGCTTAAATTTTTGGCTGATTGAGCTAGTTGATACCCAGGTACTGGAGTAACTTGGATAAGTTGGTTAGTTCATATTGAGATAAATTTGGGTTACCTTGAATTTCTTTTATATTGTGTTAATAAGCCCAATCAGATTTTATGCAACTTAGTGAGGAACGAATAGTGTGCACTAAGAGTTTAGTTGTAAAGAGGAATTAAAAAAAAGGTGTAAAAATAAAATAATAAAAATAAAATAAGATTCAATGTTCTGGGTACAATTTTATAGCTCCTCACCACTTTTGTTTGGATGCATATAAAATTTACGCACACCTTCAGAGTACAATTAGAGATTTTATATAATGGGCTGTGATGTTTTTCTTAAAAAAGAGAGGTAGGATATGGCCTGTATATATATATTATGACAATGGGCCAATTTATTTTTAAGCCCAACTTGTACCCACCTGTACATTATAGATGCATAACATTTTTTTTGAATCTGACATGACATTAGTCTTATCCACATCCTCTTCTTTTTCCCAATATGTTGTGCATAACACAAGTACCAGAAGCCAGCAATATTATGTTATACCAAGAACTTCAATATTCTCAGATTGCTCCAGACTATGTTAACAGTCATTTGTTGTATCTCCAATGGTACCAAATAGCATGAGACTAGGTCTGCACTGTGTGAGATGACTCTACCTGCAAGTTCTGACTTCAACTGCTATACCTAAAAAAAAAAAAAAGGTAGTCCATATTCACTCCCCTTTAACCCTCAATCTCCCATTTCTCACCTCTTTCTTTGATTTCTCTCAAACCCACCGAAAAAATAAAAATAAAAATCCCTCTACCTTTGATTGAGTTATTCTGCTCAACCTTCAAAGGTAGGACCTTGCTGTTCGGTTGGAACTAAATTGGTTGAAGTTACCCACCTGGTTTGACATCTTCCAGCACCATAATTGCTGCGGATTTGGTTTGGACTGACTTTAGGTTTCGATATTCATTGAGAACCATAAACCCATTTGTCGAGTTGTTGCTATTTTGGAGCTCTTTAGTTTCTAGCTAAATAGGAGTCTGAGTCATTAGGGCCACGGGGAGAGAACTTTCGTTTTTTTTAGTTTTCAGTTTTACGTTTTGAATCTTTTGTAGTCTTTTTCTTTGAATCCGAGTGTTGAGAAATTCCTTGAAAGCTGAATGCTTGTTCTTCAATTCTTGCACTCGAAGTGCATTGACAACGCACCTTCAAGGAAAGGAATCACGGATCTGCATGCGAGCTATTGTTTTCATACTTCTGCAAGTTTTCTTCCTAGCTCTAGTTTAGGAACTTTGATTCTTGAAGAACCGGTTTGTAAACTTTTACTTTGAGTTTTCTTTACTGAATATTGGTAATGCATGTTTCTTTACTTTTTAGATTTGCAATATTTCTGAATATGGTTTCTAATTTCTTTTCTTTTCTGGGTTGTCAAAATGATTGGATGAATAATTTTTTATGTTCTTTGTTACTGTTTGTTTTATCTCATTCGTTTGATTCTTTTATTTTTTAACTCAAGAAATCCATGGGAATGGAACTTGAGTATTTCAACAAAAAGAAATTGGGAAATGAATTTTTGTTAAGAGTTAAATGAACCCTTTTTGATTAGGGACAATGAAAGGTGATTTCTGATATAATTTTCTAGAAAGATTCAAGAAGCTTTGGAAAAAGTTTTTCTTGAACCTTAATGTTGATTCTGAAAAGTTTCAACTAAACTTTCCGTAGCAACTCAGAAACTGCGATAAACTTGCTGTAGCACTGTATGAATTTGCAGTTTGCAAATATTTTTGTCATCCATGATTTTTTGATATACTCAGAAGCTTTTAAACATTGATAAATCAATTCTTACTTTTTGGATCAGATTTTGATAATTGAAAAAGACTACAAAAAAATTTCTTGTTATAAAAACAATTAAGTTCCAATTCAGAATTTTTTAATTCAGAAAAATAAAAAGAAAACTAATTCGACCTGTTTCCAGAGAACGATACTCTTTCCTTTGAAAAATCACTACCAACAGTTAGTTGGTTGAACATGGTTAATAGTAGCTTGATTATTTTCCATAGATCGTAACATTAACTCTAATCATGACCAAAACATAGTTTGGTTATATGTTTTATTTTGGTGTCATACACTCAAAAAGGATACATTATATCTCATTTCGTCTTACAACAACAAACCATATCACCTGTACTAAATCCATAACACATGGCCTTCCCTGCCTGAAACCCTTCATTATTGCAATTTTGGTTACAAATGGCCAAATTTATGCATGGCGATTTACAGACGTACCCGGGAGGAACAAATACACCTAGAAAACTTGTTGATGGACCTGCAATGAGAACAAAGTTCACAATTTTTATGCTCATGGATCCTAGCTTTATTTTTTGAAATTTTTGCGTAGTTTTTTTTTTTTTTTTTTTGTATTCCTTTTTGCGTAGATTTTAAATTAATTACCTAATATACGACTAAAAAACTTTTTGTTGATCTAGACATTAACAAAAATACACTATTAAAAATTTATAAAAATTCACATTTTAAATCCAAAAATAAAATAAAAAATTTGCTCCCTAACACCCAAGCAATGTTTTTTAATAAGCAGCTAAGAAGTAAAAATATAAAATATCATTTTTCACTTTGCGTTTGTTAATTACACACTAAAAATAAAAATAAAAATAAATTTTTTTAAAAATACATATATTGAAATTGAATATCATAATGTAATAAACTTAAATTTATTAATGACATCATGGTTATAATATTTCTATTAAAATTAAATTCTATATTCAATTTTATTAAAACTAGTGATGGAGAAATGATAAACCCTAATATTAATATATAAAACATTTACATATACTGATTAATATTTCTTTTGCAATATGAGAAAAACTTATCTCATGCAATTCTAAAATGACATTGTTTTAGAGGTTTGGGAAAGAGAGAGAGGATAATTTAGTAAAATTATATGATACAAAGGGAAAGTAAAATTACTAAAATTCCCTTTGTTTTTTTACCAAATCATTTTCCCCTTGTATATAAGGTGATTATTATAATAATATTAATGTAGTATATAATAATATTTTTAAATTATTATAATTAACAATAAAAAATTCAAAACTTCAACCCCAAACACACACCAACTTAACCTTGAAGTAGCCTTGGTGAGTCCGAAACTTTGGATGGAGATGGTGCCGGAGAAGCGGACATGACGGTGATGATTAGCCTTTGTCCATTTTTGCAGTTGTTAACGTTGTCACTAATGAAGAAAAAGAGACTTAGTTTATTCAAATGGAAAGTTGAATTTCCATCGTCCATCTTATGAATGGGGTTAGTGATGTTACACGAATAGTAATCCTCCTTCTTCACAACCAAAACTGAATCATTCCCTTCCTTATATTTAAAATCTGCATGCATTCAAAATAGAATGAGCATATATTATATATATTAACCCTTTAATACCAATATTTTTATGTAAAACTAATATTATATATATAGTTTATATTGAGTTAATATTGGACTTACATAGAATGTCATTGACATGAAACACGTGTCTTCGAGCCCAGTGATTATATTCTTCCAAAGGTTTGACCACCCAACCGTCTTTGCCACCAACTTGAAATACCATTGCTACTGCGTGAGATAAGAATGATAAGCTAAGAAGCAAAAATGGTATCATAAAAAACATAAGGCCAAGGGACCTGTCAAATATATGACCACACCCTGCCATTTACACAGTAAAAAATACTGAGCTACCCAAATTGACACAAGGAGAGAGAGTTGGAGAGGTGAATAATGTATGAAGATTGAATGGTGATATATAAGAGTGGGGGTGAGAGATGAAATGAAATAATATATAACGGGAAATAAGGATTGAAAGGAAGTAACCGTTGTTGACTATAGCATGGAAAATGCTTTTCATTGGGACAAATATTTGCTGGCAATTAATAATGGCACAATATATTAATATATAAGGAATGAGGATTGAGAGGAGATAAATGTTGTTGACTGGAGCATGGAAAATGCTTTCCAATGGGTCAAACATTTGTTGGAAATGGCATGAATTGGAAGCAGTGTCAGAAAAATTGGTTATTTTGAAAGATATACTATATATTTGCTGACTGATGAATATAATATAATTTTAAATAGAGAAAGTGAGTACCGGTGTATAATTTTTGTGGGGTTGAATGATTAAAAATAGTAAAAAAAAATTAAAATTATATAATTGTTATAAATAATTTGACTGTTATGACTGTTGAATGTTCTGTAACCACTGAAGAAGTAATTGTGGTCATTTATCATATTGTAACCGTCTTTATCTTATGAGCCTATAAACAAAGGCATGTACAAAGCATTTTGAAATGATAATACAACAAGAATATATTCCCCATATCTCTCTCTTATTTCTATATTTTTCTCCTAGTTATCTATATTTATTTTACAACATGTGATCTCTACCATATCAAACTAAGAGCTTCATTAATCTTTGTTTCATGGATCCTCTTATTTTCGAAATCTTAAATTTGTTTTTATCAAGGTTTTTGGTAGCACCCCGTCAGAAAAGCACGTGTTCTAAACACATAAGATCTTCCATTAAGCTATGCAACCATTTCTTATTACAACTCATCATTTATTTATCTGGTGATTAGTTTATATTCATCAAGTTAGATGAGTTGGTTCATTAAGTTAGTTTCTTACCGTTGTGTTAGTTCCCTAATTTACGGTAAAGTAGTTACGTTATAGTTGTTACATAGCTGCTGTATAAATAGTGACTTAAACGTGTAGTTAATCAGTTTTTCCAATTTCTAATCTTTCTTCAATAAGATGAATACAGTTTTCTCTCTTCCGAGTTCTTTGGATTCTGATATGGTATAAGAGCTCTAGGAGCTCTGGTATCGCGTTCTTGCTGTTCCGTTTTGATCATTAGCGTTCTTACTGCTTCATCTTTGATCTTCAATCAGCAGATTCTTCAATGGCGAAACAAGCTCCTCTTCCGGATCATCTTACGAATCCTTCGAACTCTATATCTTCATGCAAATGAGAATCCAGCGCTGGTTCTTGTTACACGCTTCTTAATAACAAGAACTACCAGACGTGGCTTCGGGCTATGAAGATGGCGCTCCGTTCCAAGAATAAACTTACCTTTGTGGATGGTACTTTCACCATTCCAGCAACAACAGATCCTACGTACCAGGCATGGGATCGTTGCAACATGATGGTCTTATCGTGGATTCATCACTCCATTGAACCCTCCATTGCCAAATCCATTCTTTGGATCGAAAAGGCACAAGATGCTTGGAAAGATCTCCAAGAACGGTTCTCACAAACAGATGTGTTTAGAATTACGGATTTGCAAGAAGAAATCCAGCGTCTTCATCAAGGAGAATCATCAGTAGGTGATTTCTTTACTGAACTTAAAACTCTCTGGGATGAACTTGACAACTTACAGCCATTGCCAAATTGTGTCTGTGGTGCTTCAGACAAGTTGAAGAAATGCCGAGAACGTGATCAAGTCATCCGTTTCCTGAAAGGTCTTAATGACCAGTACTCACATGTTCGTTCAGAAATAATGCTGATCGAACCTCTCCCTAGCATGAACAAGGCTTTCTCGCTTGTTACACAACAAGAACGACAGATGAACACTGAGTTCTTGACTGAAAATATATCAAGTTCACGAGTCTATGCAGCTGAGCATCAGCGTGGAACTTATGTGCCTGAAAATCAACGTGGACGTGGTAATTTCTATAATAGAGGAAGGAATGGCAGAGGACGTGGAACCAAATTGTGCACTCATTGTGGTCGCACCAACCACACAGTGGAGACATATTATGCCAAACATGGATATCCACCAGGATTCAAAGTCAGGGGAAGGACTGTATCAGCCAACACAGCCTTTCTTGACTCAATTGAAGATGCTGATGGCACCAAGGATACTGATAAAGTTTCTATCACTCAACAAGAATATCAAAAATTTCTTGATCTAATGACTCAAAGCAAAACTGATCATGCAGGTGATGCAAGTTCTCACACTGCAAATTTTGCTCAAGTCCAGCATGCTCAAGTTCAGCATGGATCTGCTTTCAATGTGAATTCTGGTAAGGTCCTCACTCAATGGATTCTTGATACGGGGGCGACGGATCATATATGGTCAATGTCCTCATTATTCTCTCATTTTAACAAGATTATTGATCCTATTGCAATCACACTACCTAACAATCAGAAAGTGATTGCCAAATACTCTGGGACAGTGGTTTTATCTGAATTTTTACAACTCGATAATGTGCTTTACGTTCCTGAATTTCAAGTGAATTTAATTTCAGTTGGGAAGTTAATATCTTCAGCTTGCTGTGAGCTCACATTTCGTGATTATGCTTGTTCCATTAAGCAGATATCGACAGGCCAAGTGATTGGTTCTACTAGGCTCCACAATGGGCTCTTTTTGTTGCTTTTGGATGGAAGATCTGAAGTCAAGAGATCAAAGTTTTCTGTTAATAATTCATCCTGTAAACATGCAATAGTTAGCAATAAAAACACGATGGATGCCTCCATGTTATGGCACCATCGTCTAGGACATATTTCTCATTCTGTTATGTCCCACATGCACAAATTTTTCCCCTTTATGACTTGTAACAAATTGAATTCAGCTTGTGATGCATGTCATAAAGCTAAACAACGCAAGATTTCCTTCAATGACAGTAGCACCATTACCCATAAAGCTTTTGAGTTAATTCATGCTGATATATGGGGACCCTTTGCTACCCCTTCTATTAATGGTGATAAATACTTCTTAACCATAGTAGATGACTTCTCAAGGTTTACATGGGTTATTTTGATGAAAAACAAAGGAGAAACAAGGCTTCATTTGCGCAATTTTTTTGTTATGGTCGAAACTCAGTACGCAGCAAGCATCAAAACTATTAGGACTGACAATGGTCTTGAATTCATGATGGAACAGTTCTATGCATCTAAAGGGACTGTTCATCAAACCTCTTGTGCCTATACTCCAGAGCAAAACGGTGTTGTTGAAAGGAAACACCAGCACTTACTGAACGTTGCACGATCATTGTTCTTTCAATCCAATATTCCTATTAAGTTTTAGACTCACTGCATTCTTCATGTTGTCCATCTTATCAATAGACTGATTACTCCAACATTGAATGAGAAGACTCCATTTGAAGTTCTCAATTCTGTTCCACCTTCATTTGATCATATTCGCGTATTTGGATGCCTCTGCTATGCTACAACTGTTGCTTCTACCCGACATAAGTTCTCTCCTCGTGCACGAAAATGTGTCTTTCTTGGATACCAAATGGGTACCAAAGGTTATGTGCTTCTTGACCTCTCCTCTCATCATCTATTCATATCACGAAATGTTGTCTTCTATGAAAATTCTTTTCCTTTCATTGAAAATTCATTAATCCCTACTGCTGACATTGTTGTTCCACCTAATACATCTTCTCATACATTTGATGATTTATCTCCATCACACTATTCTCCTATTATACCTGAACCTATACATACTTCTCCTATTCATGATCATCACACACAGCATACACCTGATACTATACCTGAACATATACATGCTTCTCCTATTCATGATCATCACATACCCGAACCAATAAACATTCCTACTCGACGTTCTACACGCCAGAAACACACTCCTTCTTACTTGCAAGATTTTCAATGCAATCTAACTTCTAAAACTCCTTATCCTATATCTTTTGTCATTTCATATGCATCATGTGCTGCACATCACCCCTCTTTCTGTCTTACCCTTAATTCCATACAGGAACCAACTACATATCATGAGGCATCCAAACTCGAGTGTTGGCAGAAGGCAATGACAGCAGAACTTGATGCTCTTGCACTCAACCATACATGGAGTTACACTGATTTACCACACGACAAACATCCAATAGGTTGCAAGTGGGTTTTTAAAACCAAACTCAGAGCTGATGGAACCATCGAGAGGCATAAAGCAAGGCTGGTTGCAAAGGGTTATACGCAGCTCGAAGGAGTTGATTTCCTTGACACTTTTTTCCCAGTTGCAAAGGTCACCACCATTTGAATTCTGCTTAGTATTGCCACTGCCAGAAACTGGCACATGGAACAGCTCGATGTGAACAATGTGTTCTTGCATGGTGAACTCAATGAAGAGGTGTACATGCTGCCACCTCCAGGAGCAATACTGTCTCGTCCAAATGTTGTCTGCAAACTGCAGCGATCACTCTATGGCTTAAAACAAGCCAGTAGGCAGTGGTAATGCCCGTCTCAGCTCATTTCTCAAATCTATTGTATATCAGCAATCACATGCTGATCATTCTCTTCTCATTAAGTCTGAGGGAGACTCATTCACAGCATTACTAATCTATGTTGATGATATAGTAGTTGCTGGAAATGATAAAACAAAAATCGATTCGGTCAAGCGCTCCCTTGATTCTGAGTTCAAGATCAAGGATCTAGGCAACTTGCATTACTTTCTGGGTTTAGAAATCTTACGTTCTGTTGATGGTCTGTTGATAAGTCAGCGCAAGTATGCTCTTGAATTAATTTCTGATGGAGGTATGTTGGGGGCCAAACCTTGCTCTACTCCCTTAGAACCTGGTCTCAAATTGGAGCAAGACGCAGGACATCCTTATGAAGATGTAGCAAGTTATCATCGACTTATTGGGAGGCTACTCTACCTAACCACCACTCGACCAGACATATGCCATGCTGTACAGCAGTTGAGCCAATTTATCTCCAAGCCTACTGATATTCACATGAATGCCGCTTTACATGTTTTACGGTATTTGAAAAATGCTCCTAGCAATGGACTCTTTTATCCAGCAGCTAATAAGTTACAACCAAGTGGATTTGCAGACTCTGATTGGGCTGTATGTGCAGATACCAGGCGGTCGATTACTGGATTCTGTGTGTTCATAGGATCAGCTTTAGTCAGTTGGGAGTCAAAGAAGCAAGGAACTGTTTCCCGTTCTTCTTCAGAGGCGGAATATAGATCCTTAGCTGCTCTTACTTGTAAGATCCAATGGATTCGGTATTTGTTACAGGATCTCCAAGTTCCATTTCACAAGGCAGTTCCAATTTATTGTGATAATCGATCAGCAATCTATTTGGCTCATAATCCTACCTTCCATGAGAGAACCAAACACATTGAGATTGACTGTCATTTGATACGAGAAAAGATTCTTGATGGTCTTGTTCATTTTCTTCCTATTGCTTCAGGCGATCAACTGGCAGACCCATTCACTAAAAGCTTATCAGTAGGCCCTTTCAAGTCTCTCGTTGGCAAGTTGGGTTTGCGCAATACTCACCCTCCAACTTGAGGGGGGTATTACAACTCATCATCTATTTATCTGGTGATTAGTTTATATTCATCAAGATAGATGAGTTGGTTCATTAAGTTAGTTTATTACCGTTGTGTTAGTTCCCTAATTTACGGTAAAGTAGTTACGTTATAGTTGTTACATAGCTGCTGTATAAATAGTGACTTGAACGTGTAGTTAATCAGTTTTTCCAATTTCTAATCTTTCTTCAATAAGATGAATACAGTTTTCTCTCTTCCGAGTTCTTTGGATTCTGATATTTCTAGTAATGGCAGAAAGCTCGCAGGAAGTTGCAACTAGTTCCGTGGCAAATAGGCCTATGACCCTTCGTACCCTTTCTATGATGAGGAAACTAAAGTTGTATGCAGATCGTATGTCCTAACCATCTTGAGCAGTTCTTATCTTTTGCAGGTAATTAATTCTTCGCAATAAACATACATAAGTCCATGATCCGTTTATATTATATTATAATGAATTTAAAATTATCATATTATGTGTTATATGTATGCTTGACCTTTATTGTTTTGGGAAATTGATTTTGTTATGATTTTTCTTTCACAGTAGTCATGTGGTAAATCTTTCTCTATATATTTGATTCGGGATTTGATAAGAATAATTAGTTTGATACTGATCATACTGTAATGAATTATTAGGTAAGCCCATATTTTGTTATAATTTTCTTTGGTAGTCATGATAAATTATTTTATTTCTCCACTAAAAAGCTTAGATGACAGTTTTCCTTTGAGCATTTTAATATTATTAATGATGGTCCTTGGTCTTGAAACTGTTCTAGTCTTGAAACTATTATGAAGATGACAATTTTGTTTGTGTATTAGAATATGTGCAATTAATTTTTTTCTTTTATATTGCTATTAATTTTATGTTAAAAAATAGCTACAAATAATTAGTCGTCAATCAAATTTAATTTTTGGAATAAATTAAATCTGTTGGAACAATTTATGTCATTTTAAATGCATTCATGAAGAGAGATATAATACATATTGCAACGATTTATGCTTGCTATTAAATGAAAGGTTATAAGTTTAACAGTTTTGTTTTGTGTATAATATATTATATTTTTCATAAGTTCTGTAACATCCCGCATAATTAGGAAATTACATAAGTTGATCATGGTGGGCATATGGAGAGCATAGCATTTTGGAGGATTATATTTGATGCACATAGCATTGTATTTAGCATTTTGGACTTAGGTTATGAACATATTGCATGTTGATATTGCCATGCTTTTGAGTGTTCATAACTAGATTCTAAGTCTATGTAGTTGAGGTATATTTGATGCACATAGCATTGTATTTAGCATTTTGGACTTAGGTTATGAACATATTGCATGTTGATATTGCCATGCTTTTGAGTGTTCATGACTAGATTCTAAGTCTATGTAGTTGAGGTATATTTGTGCCTCTTGTTTATATTGATATTTTGGTGAGCAAGGGACTTGTCCATGGCCACATATGGTATCTTGAGGCATTTGAAGACTTATTGTTGTAAATGGGCCATATGATGTCTATATGGCAATTAGATGATGGATATTGTAATTGATACATTGTATGAGAATTATACTAATTATTGTACAAGTTATATAATTAGTATTAAAGTGTTATAAGTAGGATACTTGGTTTATTTTAAAGTTAAAAAGCTGTCAAAGTGTGATTTCACAGTAGTGTAATCGTTTACCTTCAGTGTGGTAATCGATTACCTAAAACAGGGGACGCAAAATTGAGCCATTGCGAATGATGGTAATCGATTACTTTTGGGATGGTAATCGATTACCTAGTTAAATAATCGATTACCTAGAGTATGGTATTCGATTACCAAAAACAGGGGAGTCAAAAATTAGCCACTGCCTTCTACTGTAGCTTCTGGTAATCGATTACCTCAAGAATGGTAATTGATTACCATACTGCAAATTTTGATAAAAGTAATTTTATAACCCTGAGTTGATGGTAGTGCTTGGAGGGGTTATAATGGATAAGTATTATGCTTTCGCGACTTTTGCAATTATAATTACGGTGTTATTTTAATTGATTACATAAATGGTTAATGGTTAATAAAAAATGATTTCAAAAATGAAAAAGTTTATCCGTAATTTAATTAACTCAAACCATATGCAATGATAACATTCCCGGTACGTAACGGGTTGTTAATACATGTGGTATCATAGCAGGGCCTCTCTTCCAGTATGTGTGATTCGAGGACGAACCAGGCGGAAGCTGGTGGGCATGTAACATCCAGGGCGCTGACGAGGGTGGGGAGTGATTGCCGATGCAAAATGGCATGCACAAGGAACGACTCCTGGCAGGCTTCCAGCGACGAGGGTATATGAATGAATCGAATCAACACCCGAAAGAGAGGGATTCCAGAGACTATGCTGGTATGGGACGATACAGTTGGAAATAACTTATAAGAATTAATTTGTACTACCTATACTAATAAGATGCATCTACTTTTCGGTAACCCGAAACGGATGACTTGAGGCAATTCTGGGATGGGTGACCTCCTGAGAAGTTTTCCCGGGAAGTGTGCGAGTGCGGACAAAACACGCTGAAAAGTCTCGTGTTAGTGTGTGGGGACAGTCGTTGATCCTTACAAGTTGCCAACGTTACATTACTGTTGGAAAAGATTAATATTAATAATAATGAAGGTTAAGATGCGATAATTATGAATTAGAAAGGATGTAAACGAAAGTGAAAACATTTCTTAATGGATATGAAATTGGAATTTCTGAATATTAAATTGTGTGGTCATACAAAATAGATTGCAATTGTCAAATTATGTGACAGTTTGGGTGCTTGTGTATACCGAGCCTTTGGATTGGGATTTTAGCCTTACATATAAGCTTTCGTGTCCTAGGATTGATCTGTTGCTTGTTCCACTGACCTCCATGGGAGGGTGGTTTATATGCAAGGTATGCTTTTATGAAAATGATATATGCATTGATATATGCCTGAGATTTGTGCATATACCTATTGATGTAATGTATGAATGTGAAGTTAGTACTTGTGCGATCAGACAGCAACCCTGGAGTGCAAGGCATGAGGCAGCATCCCTCATGTTTGGTAGGTAGTAGACGTGCATAAACCCTATCGTGTTCCCTGGCCAGTTGAATCGCACCTGCATACATCACATAAGATATGAATTGTGGTCCATGATTTTTGGAGTATTTGGATATATTGTCATCATTATATTGCTTCAACATGATCATGCATTGTACTTAGCTTTTTGAACTTACTATATTCTTGTAAGTGAGCTTGGGGCAGAAGAGTCCTTGAGGACCCTTTGTCTTACTGAGATTTCTTGTTAGAAATCTCACCTCGTGTGGGGTACATTTTCAGGTACAGGTGTTACTGAGGTTGACACCTCTGGCGGCAGGAGGCCGAAGTTGAGCTGATGATATGTTGCATGCTTTGACTCTTATGTTAGGATATAATATGCCCTGTTATTATGTGACTATTGTATTTGAGACATGATGATTTTGTTGTTTATTTGGTAAGCATGGGGGTTGTCCATGCCACATTGGTATAAGTTATGCGTATTCAGACTTGAGTTGTATTAGTTGTATCTGAACATGTCCGGTCTACGTGTTGTAGTTTCGTGACTTGATACATTGTTTATGATATGAGATTATTCATTGTAGTATTTATTGCATTTTACATACCGGCGGCTTTGAAAAAGAATTAAGTAAATCCACTTGGTTAAATTGGTAATGTTCATAATTGCAAAAATTTATCTTCCGTATTTGTTGAGTTGCGATATTACCATATGTATGTTTAATACACCGGGTGCACACGGGGTGTTACATTTTATGGTATCAGAGCACTTTCTAGGGAAAAAGTCTGTATGTATTGCAATAACTTAAGATGCCTTGTTGTGTGAGTTGTCTTGTAAGTTTCTTTTAGGTTTTCCAATGATGATGCATGCGTGACCACATTGTGTGGGCCTGAACAACTCATTCTTTGTTAACATGTGCAGAGTTATGGTACTTCCTAGGAGGATTCAGGAGACAAATGATCAGGGTCAACCTGATCCTATCGGCTGAGATGCAGGCGGCTAGAAAAGCCGATCAAGAGGACACTAGGGCGACCAACCAGGCCATGATGGATGCCATGACAAAGGCAAATAGGAAAAATGCGGAGGATGTACTCGAGGCGAGCCGATTGGCGAACATGACCAAGATACGGGTCATGTTGTAGGAGATGAGGACTGGTCGTATTGATGGCCAACATCCTCCACCACCACCTCCACCGTCGCCACCACTGCCGCCTCCACCCAGTCACCAAGATGAGAATGGAGGAGGTGGACGCACATTCCTGAGGACAATAGTCAGAGTCACATGGAGGGTATTAGTCACCTCACAGGGATTATGCAACCCTTTTATGAGACAGTGGAAGATCAGGAGATGAGAGACCGTCGGCTGAATGCTTTCCGTAAGCATAAGCCACCTTCATCTGATGGATCTTATGATCCGATTATCGCGGCTAGATGGCTCCAGTCGTTGGACAAGTTCTTCAGAGTTATGCAGTGCACCAACCCGCAGAAGCTGTTGTTTGCTACTTACATGCTAAAGGGGATGCACATGAGTGGTGGGTAAGTACCTCTCTAGCATATGAGATGCAGGGCCAGATGGTTTCTTGGCCATTCTTTAAGGAGTTATTTCTGGGGAGGTATTTCCTATACGATACCATGGAGCGCAAACAAGAAGAGTTTGAGCGCCTGGTGTAGGGCTCATTGACTGTTGATGAGTACTTGGCTAAGTTTAATGAGCTAGCCAAATTTGCACACTTTCAGACTGTTAGACCTACACCAGAGTTTTTGGCAGCTAAGTTTCGTAGGGGACTCAATGAGAAGATAGTAGACAGGACAGCTGGAGCTGTATTTAGAGACTTTGGCACATTGATTCAGCAGTACCGTGACATAGAGGACGTATGTGTGGTCAGCAAGGCCAAAAGGACCAAGGTATCTGAGGAGAAGGGAGTCAGTGG